GACTTGGGCAGGAGCTGACGTGAGAGACGGTAAGACTGCCTGAGATGGCATTCAGAGCTTCCCCATCTCACAGATGAGCTCACTGAGGCCCGGGCCAGATTCCCCCAGAAGGTCAGCAGCTGGACAGCCATTAGAATCGAGGGAGTTCAGCTCCCCAATCCAGCACACCTCCCCTGGAGAAGCCAGAACACGGGCCGCGGAGGAGTGGGCCCCGCGTTCACCCTGCAGCACCGGGAGCTGTAGGCTGTGGGGCCACCTGGATGGCTCCCCGGCAGAGGAGGTGCCCTCCAAGCTGAGGTTGGGCAGGACTGGGAGAGCTTTCTAGTAGGGGCAGCAGCACACGGGGAGGCCCTGGGACAGTGGTGAGAGCCAGGCGTGCCTGGGAAATTCACCCCTGCATGGGAGTCAGGAGTGTGGCGGGGTGAGGGGTAGTATTGTCAGGGTCTCCCTCTCAGAAGGCCTTGGGGCCAAGGGGAAGAGCTGGAATTTCCTTCCACCGTGTGCAGGCAGACCTCAACCTGGATCCCAGGACTGCCCAGAGAGGGAGAGAGGCGTGTGTCTGCCTCACGTGGCCCACAGTCCGGGGTGGGGGCAGTCTGCAGGGGAAGGAGGTGGAGGAGCAGAGCTCCCATCCTAGTTCCAATCTCAGTGCTGTGACACACTTACTGTGTGGCCTGGGCAAGTCACTGCACCTCTCTGAGCCTCCGTATCCTCATCCATAAATACCACCTGGAAGGACATCCTCAGAACTCAGTGAGATCGTTCGCTCGTTCATCCGCTCATTTATTCCTTCAATTTTTTTTTTTTTTAGCACCTTCGATATGCCAGGCCCTGGACTGGGTGCTGGGGACACAGCAGTGACAAAAACCCCTGCCCTTGTGGAGCTGATGGAAGAGGTAGTGTAAAGCAGTGAGTGGTTAAGAACACAGACACTGGAGCCAGGGGGCCTGGGTTAACTCCTGACCCACTCCTTATTTTCTGTGTGGCTTTGGGTGAGACGCTTTACCTCTCTGAGCCTTACCTGTAAAATGCCACCTCATAGGATTGCTGAAAGGACAAATGAGTTTACATGTGTATATATGTGTATATATACATATAATGTGTTTAGCACACAGCCTGGTACACAGTGGGTGCTCAATTGCTACTCTAAAACAGAAGAGGGGTGAGTGGATGAGACAGTGTCTGATAGTGGGAAATAAAAGTGGCCAGCTCTTAGCACCAAGTGGGCATGCAGTAGGAGCTTAATATGTGTTTCTCCTCCTTTGTCTCCTGAGTCCATCTTGAACCTCAGCCTATAGGGGCCTTACGGGCCTGAGGTTTGGAATCTGTGTGGAAGGTGGGAAGTCATCTTTGCTGATCCAGAGATCTAGAGCTGAGCTTTGGGGTCTGGAAGGGCAGAGACGCCCCCAGGACCCCCCACTCCTCACACTCCCTGGCCCCTGTCCCCAGCATCACGTACAGCCTGGGTGGCTGGGGCAAGCTGGGGCCTGCCCGGTGGGTCCCCAGTAATGACACTCATTCACAGGTGTCTGGCAGCGGGGGGAGGCAAAGGCCCCAGGGGCCACGTTCACATGGCGCCCAGCCAGCCCACTCCAGGCCCTTCCTCATCCTTTATGAGTCTGGTGCCCAGGGCAGGCAGTCAAGTGGGGGAGGGGAGCTGGCAAAGGGCCAGCTGGCACCCAGTGAAAGGAGGGAAAGTTGAGAGGTCTGGGTGCCCAGCACTGGCGTGGCGGCCAGGGCAGGTGGGCACGAGGGGGCGCGTGTGTGTGTGCACCCGTGTGTGTGTCAGTGTGTTTTCTGGGGGTGTGTGCAGTGAATCTGTGTCCAGGTCTATGCATCCCCCTGGCTTTTATGTGGAGATGAGAGAGTCTATGCAGGTCAAGCACTGGGGGTCCCCTAGGTGGGTGCAAAATCTCCCATGCCCGTTTCATTTGTTTTTTTTTTTTTTTTGGGTAATGGAGTTTCACTCTTTTTTGCCCAGGCTGGGGGACAATGGCGCAATCTAGGCTCACCAAAACCTCCGCCTCCCAGGTTCAAGCAATTCTCCTGCCTCAGCCTCCCAAGTAGCTGGGATTACAGGCATGCACCACCATGCAAGGCTAATTTTGTATTTTTAATAGAGACGGGTTTCTCCATGTTGGTCAGGCTGGTCTTGAACTTCCGACCTCAGGTGATCTGCCTGCCTCAGCCTCCCAAAGTGCTGGGATTACAGGTGTGAGCCACCGCGCCCGGCCTCATTTGTTCTTTAACCTACACTGTGAAGTGGGTGCCAGGCTGGGTCTGGCCTGGGCCTGGTGACATCAGAGCCAGCCCCTGGGCAGCCTTAGACTCTGCTGCCTAAGAGCTCCAAATCTAGGGAGAGACACACACCAGGCAGAGGATCAGGACATCCCAGTGAAGACTTTGATGGAGAAAAATAAGGCAGGGGTTGACAAAGAGTGACAGGGCGGGGTCAGAGGCCTCGCTGGAAGGCGAGCCTGGCCAGAGACCGGGAGAGGAGTTGCCATGGCAGGTCTGCAGGAAGAGAGTTCTAGGCAGGAGGAAAGGCAAGTGGGAAGCCCTCGAGGCCGGGCTCAGCTTGGCCTGTGAAGGAGTGAGTGAGGACTGGGGACCAGGGCAGGTCCAGAGCTCATGGTCAGAATCAGAAGCCTGCATCTTCTGGGAAGCTTGGCACGCGGTAGGCACATGGATGGGGCTCCGCCGGGGTGAATGGGTTTGATGAGAGTGGGGACCGGGCCCCCTGGGTGTGGGAACGATTGGCTTTCAGAGCTACAGACAGGAACGTGGGCTGCTCAATTGTGTTTGAACCTATTCTCCTGGGTTCAAACCCCTCTTGGATCTGGAACCTGTTATTAAGCCGGCTGCGCCCTGGGGCACCGGCCTTTATCCCCAGACAGGGCCTGGGCCTCCTGCCCCGAGGTTGGCCCTGGCTCCCAAGATGGGGGTGGACGGGTGATACTGGTGAACCCCATGCCTGCCCCACCTCTGCCAGGCCAAGTCTGCTTCTGAGAGCTGGAAGGAGATGGTGGAGCCACGAGCATCTCCCCGTTTACAGATGGGGAAACTGAGGCCCAGAGAAGGGATGGGCAAGTCCCGGGGTCTTGTGGCAGGGCACTGGGGGCAGCACCCAGAAAGCCTCTGTCACAGCTCACACCTCTTCCCACTTCCTTCCCGCCCACAGCTGGCTCCTCCCAGCGTGGCTCTGGCAGGGGAGCAGCTGCTGTCTGGGCAGGGCAGGAGGAAGAGCTGGGTCCGGTTTAAGAAGTCTCTCTTAATTGGATACTATCGGAAGAACTGTTAACATTGTGAATTTCCATCACCAGATGTGCAGATAGACCTGGATAACAGCCCTTCATCTGCTTAGAGAATTACAGAGGCTCGGGCGGTTGGGAGACCACTTGCCTTCTAGCTCTGTGATTCCACAGGACCTCAGAACAATCCTCTGCTCAAGCCTCAGTTTTCCCAACTGTAAAATTGTTTTTTGTAATAATCAGAGTGACCTTGTTAAAAGGACAGCTTTGTTGATAAAACTCCCCTGCATTTTCCCAGCCCTGTCTTGGCTATCCGGTGCTGAGAGACAGCTCCAGCCTCACCCTGGTACCCGGGGCCTTCCCTCCCACCCCCTGATTCTCCCCTTCCTCTCCCTGCTGCAGCCACAGACTTCCTCTCTGTTGTTCCTCTCCTACCTCATGGCGTTTGCGGATGCTGTGAGCATAGGATACACAGCAAGGGCTTTCCATAATTTCAATCTCCCACCAGTCCTATCAGGTAAATAGGAGATCCATTTCACAGATGAGGAAACTGAGTCTCAGAGAGATGAGTTAAAGACACACAGCTTTTTGTGAATCCACAGGAGTCAGGATTTGAGCTCAGACTGTCTGGAATCTAACACCACTCTCTTTTCTTCATTCCTCATGTGAGCCGTTTTCATTTTCAAAACTTTGCTCAGCAGTTGCCTTCTCCAGGAAGCCTTCCCTGACCACCCTCTCCATCCACCTCCAGGACCTTCCTGAGTTTCCCCATTGCTGCACTGCTCACAATGCCCTTAATCATCTCTTTTTTCCTCAACAGCTTTACTGGGGTGTAACAAACACGTTGTAAACCACACATACCCCAGTGTTCGTGTGGCTGAGTTTGGACATATGCACGCACTCCCCAACCACCAGCACAATCAAGGTGGCAGACGTATTCATCGTCCCCAGGGGTGTCCTCGTGTCCTGTTGCCCTTCATTCCTCTCGGATCCCTAGCCACACTCCCATCGCCTGCCAACTCTGCCAACTGTGGCTGATCTGCTTTCTGTGGCCGTGGATTAGTTTGTGTTCTCTAGAATTTTCTATAAGTGGAATCATGCGGTGTATTATTTATTGGGCTTCTTTTCCTCAACATCACGATTTTGAGAGTCACCCACGTTCCTGAGACCATTGTCTTTTTTTATGTATCTGCCCTGTCCCCCTCAGACTGTGAGCTCCATGGGGTGGGGACTTTGTCATATTTACCTCTGTGTCCCCAGCACTCAGCACAGGGCTGGGCACACAGAAAGTGCCTAATAAGTGTTGACGGACTGGAAGGAGGATGAAGACCTGCCCCAAAAGCAGGCACATTTGCATGGCAGTGAGGAGCCCAAAGCCTGATTAAGAGAACGCAGCCCCGGGAGTCATCTGGAGGCCTCGTGGCCCCATCAGATAAGCACATCCGCTCATCCCTGTGGCTGTCTCTGTGCAGCAGAGATCTGGATTGCACAAGGGCTGGGCCTGGGCTGAGGCGGCACTAGTGGTCCCTTTATCTTGCGTGGGTATTCGGCTCTGTGTTCCAGAACTGCACAGCCCACGCCTCCTGGCAGGCGGAGGCCTGGGCTCCGGCAGCGGGTGGGCAGGTGGGCGGCAGGAAGGAGAAGTGGCTGCCCAGCCCTCCCCAAACCAGTCGGACTCCTTTGCAGAGATTTCCGCAGGCGCTTTGGGAGCTGGGTAAGGGAGAGTGGGAGGCCAAGGAAAAGCAGGAGGAGGGGAGGAACCATTTAATGAGCAAGTATTATAGGGAATTTCCAGTTCATGCCCCATCAGGTTGGGCAGGAACACAGTGGGATTACTCAGGTGGCGTCCAGATACCAGCCTCTACCTTGAAGGTTCGGTGTGGCCCAGATGCCTCTAGGTCTTCATCGCTGGCTAGAAACCCAACTAGCCAGGGTGAGAAAGTGGCGGTGAGCTACATCCTGAGACAAAGCCTGCAACCAAAGCCGAGACTAAGCATGCAATTCCTGCATCAGTCTTTGCTGAGGTGATCTTATTGCCCATTTTCCAGACAGAAAAACTGAGGCTGGGAGTTGCAGCATTGGCTGAGGTCACACAGGGGTTAGTGGGGAGTAGAAAGAGCTTAAAAGCCAAGGGCCATTTTGGAGTGACTCCTTCCATGAGGGCCACATTCTTTTGATAAACACTTATTGAGCACCTACTGTATGCTATGCACTGTGCTTAGCTCTGCAGGTAAAAACCCCCATATATTGTACATTGCATCTTATCTACAGATGAACAAAATTTTTGAGGTCAGAGATGTTTTGTGGAACTTTGTTTGTATGTTTTCTTGTTTGTGGAAAGAAGAAGTTTGGACCACACTAGCATTTCCCAAAAGGGAATCCGGGGGACACAGAATCTCTGGGATATTCATAGGAGTGACAAGGGGGAAAGTGTTCTATAATCCACTGGGTTTGGGAATTACTGGGTTAACATTTGCCACAGCTGTTCTCAGTCTCTGAAGCTCCAAAGAGCTCAGTGAGCATCCAGGTGGTTAGGTCCTGTGAGTTCCCCTCTGGGAGATCTAAGGGAGTTTGTTCACTGTTTTCCTGACTTTATGAGTCCTGGCTGGATGCTGCCTCCTCCAAGGAGCCTTTTCTAAGTCCCCAGAAGGACCTGCATCCCCTCCTCTGAAGGCTCCCTTTGACCTCTGAATATTTTCCACCTTGGGTTGTAACTGTCTGTTTCCATCACTTGATTGTGAGCTTCTCGAAGGGCAGGGCCAGCTGTGATTCACTTCTTGGTTCCGGTATAGAGAACAGAATGGGTGGATGGAGCATTTAATGGGTGCAAGGATGAGTGATGACTTGACGGGTGGGTGGATAGTCAAATGGATGTGGATGATTTCATGGTTGAATACTGTGAATTGTTGGAGGAATGAATAAATATATAATTAAATGAGTTAATTAATAAATAAAATGATGGATGACTTAATAGATGGCTAGATGAATACACAGATAAAGGGATAAATCGGTAGATGGACTGGTGATTCCATGAATAATGGATGGGTATACAGATGGACAAATGGTTGGGTGGATAGATGAATGAGTGGGTGGATGGATGGGTGAGTGGACAGATGAATGGGTAAACGGATGGATGAATGGATGGGAGGGTGGGTGGATAGGAGAATGGATGGGTAGATAAATGAATGTATTGATGGGTAAGAGGTTGAATAATAGACTAGATGGATGGGTAGATGGATGGATGGATGGATGGGAGAATGGATAGATAAATGGGTAGATAAATGAATGGATTGGTGGGTAGGAGGATGGATAAGAGAATGAGTGCATGGATGGATGGATGCATAGGAGAACTGATGGGTAGATAAGTGAATGGATTGAGGGGTGGGAGGCTGGATAAGAGAATAGATAGATGGGTAGGTGGATGGATGGAGGATGGATGGATAGGAGAATGGATGTGTAGATGAATGAATTGGTGGGTTAGAGGCTGGATAAGAGAATAGATGGGTGAGTGGGTGGGGGGGTGAACAGGAGAATGGGTATGTAGATAAATGAATGGATTGGGGGGTGGGAGGGTGGATAAGAGAATAGATGGATGGGTAGGTGGATGGATGGATGGATGGAGGATGGATGGATGGATGGGTAGGTGGATGGATGGATGGAGGATGGATGGATGGATGGGTGGGTGGGTGGATGGATGGATGGAGGATGGATGGGTGGGTGGGTGGTTAGATCAATTGGTGGATGAGTAGGCGAGTGGGTGGATGAGTGGATAGGAAATGGATGTATGAGTGCATGGATGGGTGGATGAGAGAATTAATGGATGGATAGGTGAGTTGGATGGATATATAGGTGAATGCAGCCTATGTCACAAGATCTGAACTGAGGTCAGAAGGCAGGGAAATTCCTGTGTTCCTCCCTGATGCAGCAGTATCAAGTTTTTGAAGTTTGAAAGCTTAGTGAAAGCTTTGAGTCGTATCTCCAGAAAATTGCACATAGACACAAAATGTTAGGAACTTCATGGGAGTGGTGGTCATGGAGCCTAAAAGCCACCTACAGACCCTAGGTGAGGAGTCCCAGTGCAGTGCTATGCACTGAGTTTTACTCTCTGAGCCCTGATCTTGGAGAGGAACCCAGGCCCAGTGGAGCGAAGGCAGCCGAGACGGAGCCAGGTAGTTTCTCAAAGGAGAAGACACTGTGTTCAGTCATTCATTGCACAACATTGCTGTGACTTTTCTGGATGCCTGGGAGAAAATACCTGGGGGAAGATAAAGGCGCCTCTCATAAGTGACAAGTGTTTGGAGCTAGAAGTCAGATTGCATTTTTAATCTCATCTACTATGTACTGGCTGGGTGACCTTGGGAAACTTACTTCACCCCTATGGGCCTTCTCTTCTTCATGTATGAAATAGGGACAGCAATAATCCCTACCCTATTGCATTGTGAATTTGTAAACAGGTGTGTAAAACATGTAGCCCAGTGCTCAGTGCATAGCAAATGCTCAACAAATAAAGAAGAGATTCTCCTGCCTCAGCGTCCTGAGTAGCTGGGATTACAATGCGTGCCGCCACAGCCCAGCTAACTTTTGTATCGTTAGTAGAAACAGAGTTTCTTCTTCTTACATGACTACTGTCTTGCATTGGGCCTATGCAAGATGCTGCCGAGCCTGAGGTATCCAAGGCATCATCTTTGCCTTTAAAGTGTCCTCAGTCCATCAGGGAACACAGACAAGTAAGCAGAGGATTCCATTCACACACGGTGTTGGGGCTGAGATGGGGGATCCCAAGACCTCATATTCAGGGTTGTCTGATCCTCAGCATTCATTCCTATTAATATCTCTTTCTAGCTAAAGGCTGCAGAGACTGGAAGGCTACATGCCACATTTCCCAGCCTCCTTTGCAGCAGGGTCTCTGTACGCCCAGCAGGTCCTGCCAGGCAGATGCCTTCCTGTGAGTCAGGAAGTGGGGGCCGCCTTGTTTCTGCCCGGGCTCTCTTTCTGCTGGTGAGCGTGGTCATGGGCTGGATTTTCTTGCAGTAACACTGGCATCTGGTTACCACTCTTGGGGAGTCTAGAGGTAGGGGTGGTGGTGGTGGCTTCCTCATCTCCAGATCGCTGGTGCTGTGATGTGTTCTCGAGGTCTCTGGCTCCCCTGTGGCCTCCTGATTCCCCACCATCTTGAGTGGCTGACAGCCCCCTGAAGGCCCAGTTCTTCTGTGTGGTGCTGGTGCCTCTCCAGACTTCTAGCAATGTTGTGAATGCTCAATTCCCTGTGTTCAATCCTTTCTGCCTAAAATGCCTGCAAGGAATGCTGTCTCTGACATCCAAAACAAACACCAAATCCGGAAGCATTTCTGGTTCCCAGAATGACTGTAGTTTGACTCATATGTGGTGGGAGGTGGGAAGCACTGTAGGACCTCAGCAGGTTCCTACACCAGACTGAGGGGGTCAGGGAAGATTTATGAAGCCCATGACATGTAAACTGAGTCCTGAAGGGCATACATGGGGTAGTCAGACAAAGAGTTGACACACTAGGCAGAAGGAACAGCCTGTGCATGGCCAGGCGCCGTGGCTCACGCTTGTAATTCCAGCACTTTGGGAGGCAGAGACAGGTGGATCACCTGAGGTCGTGAGTTTGAGACCAGCCTGGCCAACATGGCAAAAGCCCGTCTCTACTAAAAGTACAAAAATTACCTGGGCTGTGGTGGTGCGTGCCTATAATCCCAGCTACTCGAGAGGCTGAGGCAGGAGAATCTCTTGAACACAGGAGGTGGAGGTTGCAGTGAGCCAAGATCGCTCTGCTTCTGACATTAACGGCATGATATAGTAGATGTCTTTCAGTCCCCTGCAGGAGGCTGGATTTGGAGAAGAGGAAGTATCATTGCAGGGAGGTGGCAAGGAACTGCAGCCACCTGGGTGGGAGGTGATGAGACTGACCTGGCATGGCAGCCTCAGAGGAGGGGAGGGTGCATGGATGTCAGGGACGCTGAGGACGAGAATCCCAGGTTTTGGTGACCAATTGGGTTGGACGCGTGGCGGTGGGAGGCGTTATAGATGATGCTCATGTTTCTGGCTTTGGACACCGAACAGTTGTGCAGCCTTCCATAAGAGGGGAGACAGGCAGAGAGCGACAGTTTGGGGGAAGTTGCTGAACTTGCTTTGGGCACACTGATTTGGAGGATGCCTGGGGGCCATCCAGGGGGAGGCATCTGGGAAGTGTACAGACATGTGGTCAGAGGCTGAGACAATAGATTGGATGTGGACAAGCCACGACTTTGGGGAAAATTAGTTAAATAGTCATTCTACAAATAGCACAGGAGTGCCTGAGACACACTCAATCGGTTCATGTCTGAGTTCCTGGCAGTTGGCCAGGGACCCGGCTGCTTGTTAAAAAGCCAGGAGGAAGCGCTGGAGACAAGACTTGGAGGGTGGGCTGGGTTCTACCAGGAAGGGATGGGACGAGGGCCCAGTGGTCAAGTGTGTGAGGCTGGGTTGAAGCCCAGCGCCTGCGTGTTCATGGCAGGGACCTGATCAGACACTCCCTCCATAAGCCTGCTTCCTCATCTGAAAATTGGTCATAAGGGACATGGTGCTGGTGGAAGCAGGTAGCTTGGAGCATGGAGCAGGGCTTTTGGGGGACAACCTGGGGCACAAAGAGTCACCCATTTCCTGGTGTGGCAGAGCCACGGGCGATGGGGAGAAATTAGGATCTGCCTGAAAAACACATCCACAGCTGTGTCCCATGTGAGAAAGGAGACCTCGGTCCCGCTCAGGCTCCCTTTCACCCCCCTAGCCTGCTGGAGCTGGTGGGTGGGAGAATCATCCCTGTGGAGTGGAGGAGGGGACCAGATGACAGGAAACTTCTCCACGTCCCTTGGAGCTGCTGGAGCTGGGTCCTGGCCACCGTCCCTGCAGCCAACAGAGGCTGTAAACTGGAGGCCTCAGGGGTGCAATCTGGCCCCCAAGCCTGTGTGACTTTCTTCCATCCACACAGAATTTTTAAAAGAATGAAGCCAATATTTAAGAATCTGTGGCTACGACATAAAAACCTGTGCTGTGACTCCCTCTGGAAAATCAGGGTGTGGAGCATCTGATCATATTGAGCCCCGTTCTCTTAGGGACCACCACCAGCCGGAGCTGGGAGGTGACTGTCTTCAGACAAGGCATGTGCCCCAGTCCCCACCACTCCCTCTTGTCTCTCTGACACTGAAGCCAAGGAACAGTGGCTATTTATTATCTTACACCAGCCCACTGTACTCATTTTAAATTCCTGCCTGGTCCCTGGTGACATTGAGTTTTCAATCTCAGAGCCGGTTTCTTTTTCCTCTATAACCACCAAGACTGGCCTCAGTTCTAGCCCTGAATCTGCTCCCTCAGGACGCCAGTCTCTGAGCTCCTCAGGGTCATGGTTCACCTTTCCCTCTGCCCCACAAGGCCCAGCACCACCCCCAGGGGATAAAGATGGGCTGAGACTTGGCTGGTGTTGGTGGTGGGGGGGTGGGGTGGGGTGGGGGGGCCGGATGGGCCTGTGGGAGGCAGACCCACATCTGCTTCAAGATGTGTCAGCTGGGCCTGGTCACACTCTCTGCGGTTCATCCCTGAGGCATGTGGAACCAGGCGCTGTGCTCGTGGCCCAGCCGGGGTGGTGGGCGGGGCCAGGCCCGGGACATGGTGTATGTCAAGGCCACGCACAGCAGGCCTGATGTTCCAGCCTCAGACACATTGGTTGGAAAGAGGAAAGGAGGAGGGAGAGGCAGAGCTGCTTTAACAGAAAGCATCCAGAATACAGAGGCAGAGAGAGCCGAACTCACACTTGCTGTGTGACCTTGGGCAAGTCAACTTACCTCTCTGAGCCTCTAGCTTAAGATGGAACCAAGGACAGACCCCAGCTTGCAGCCTTGTGGGCTGATTCAGTGGTACAGTGGCTGATGTGGGGCCTGAACCCCAGAGGGGCAGCCTGGAATAGAGACCAAAATCACAGACTTTGGGGCTAGACGAGCTTGCCACTTGTGAGCTGGGTGACCCTGGGCAGGTCACTTCTCCAACTGCATCCCCGAGGGAAGGTCCTCACCAAGTTATTCTGCCAAAAAAAAGAATCCATTCACTGAGCAAATATTTATTGGGCACTTCCTGTGGGTCAGGCACTGGGGACATGGCAGGACATAGGACAGCCAAAGGTCTCTGCCCCTGTGGACTTCACACTTGCAGAGGCAGTGGGCAATACACAAGATAAATATGTTGCTTATTGCATTTGAGAGGATCTGTGCTAGGGAGAGAAGTGAAGCAGGAAAAGGAGATGGATTTCAATGGGCGGGACAGGGACAGCCTTGGTGAGCAGGTGACAGCTGACAATGTTCTATAGGCGGTGAGGAGGGAGCCTTGGGGAGGAGAGAGTGTTCCAGGCAGTGGGAACGGTGCACACAGGCCCTGACGGGGCGCTGTGCTGGTTGTGTTTGGGATGCAGCAAAGACCCGTGTGTGGACAGGAGGAGTGAGGGAGGGAGGGCCGAGAGGCCGTGGGGGACGGAGCCTGCAGGGTCACGTGGGCTGTCTAAGGCCTTCGGCCTTTTCTCTGCAGGAGATGGGAGTCATGGAGTGTTCTGAGCAGAGGAGGGACATGGTCTGGCTTGAGTTTTCATAGATCCCTCTGGCTGCGGGTGGAGAATGGATGGACTGGAGGGGCCAGGACAGAAGCAGGGTGATAGTGGGGAGGGACGGCGATAGTCCACCCTCTGTTTAGCTATCCTGGGCCTTCCCTGCTCTAAAGCCTTCCTGACTTCCCCTCGCCTCTGGACAAAGCCCAAACTCCTGAGCATGACATTCAAGGCCTCCTTACCTGACTCTAACTGCTCCCCACCCCGGCCCCTCACTCTCTCCACTGCAGCCCAGTTAGATATTCCTCCTTCCCTGCTCCACATGCTATCCACTTTGCCTGTGCTGTTTCCTCTGCCAGGAATGCCCTTCCTGTCCCGCTTTGCGACCCAGCTCATGTGAGGCCCAGTCCCACCGAGCTAGGAGATAGAAAGCCAGGAAGAGAAGAAAGCCCGTTCCTGGGGAGGGTCAGGGAGGGCCAGATCTCAGCCCCCCTCTTCCTCCTGAAATTCATCTTCCAGGGACTCCAAAACTGAAGGCAGGCTCAGGAGCTGGGAATGGGGCTGGCTGTAGCCCATATGACCATGCTGTGTGACCTTGGGCAAGTCACACACCCTCTCTGGGCCTTGGCTTTTCTGCTCTGTAAAATGGGGAGGATCCTGGAGGTCTTCACGGTGGTTCTGTGCACTCAAGGCTGTGGCAGCCATGGGGGTGACAGCATCCTGGGGAAGATATAACTGCACTTTTTTGCCCAGCAGTGCCATGCAAGCTCAGGGCAGCCCTGAGCCGATGCCAGGGGTAGCTTGTGGGAGGAATGCCCTCTGAAACCCGGGGCATCTCCAGTTCAGTCAACTCTGAGTGACCTGAGCACCTACAGTGTGTCCAGTTCAGCACTGTGCTTGGCCAGGGACAGAGGCCAGATGGCCTGGGTTCAAATCCCAGCTTTGCCAACACTTCCTAGCTGTGTGATCTGGGCAAGTAATGTAACCCAGCTGGGCCTTGGTTTCTCACCTGTGACATGGGGAGAGTAAGGGTGCTCTCTCTCCTCCTGGGGGGCTCAGAGAAGCTGGTGCACTCCTGTAAATACCACGCTCAGCACTCGGAGGAAGCGGCTGATCCAGGCCAACTAGGGTTACTGTCATCACCACTGTCATTTCCCGGCTCTGTGGCCTCAGGCATCAATTGCCTCCCTGTGCCTCAGTTTCCTCCTTGTGAGATGGGGTCATTGTCCCACCTTCGAAGAGTTGCCATGAGGATTGAGCCTGATGCATGTAAATGAGCCTGGAGCAGAGTAGGCACTCTGTGACATTTGCTGTTGGTTGGTTTGAGACAGGTTCTCACTCTGTCACCCAAGCTGCAGCGCAGTGGCACAATCTCGGCTCATTGCAACCTCTGTCTCCCAGGTTCAAGTGATTCTTCCACCTCAGCCTCTCAGGTAGCTGGGATTACAGGTGTGCACCACCAGGCCCGGCTAATTTTTGTATTTTTAGTAGAGACAGGGTTTCACCATGTTGGCCAGGCTGGTCACAGACGCCTGACCTCAAGTGATCCGTCTGCCTCGGCCTCCCAAAGTGCTGGGATTACAGGCATGAGCCACCGTGCCTGGCCTCACTCTGTGATTTCTTAAGAAAATCATTTCAATTGCAGAATTTATTTGATTCACTACTGTAAATCATAACTGATCTATGACTAGTTCCTATGAAATCCTTTGTTGTTCCTCTAGTCAAACAAATGCTCATTTGGTTTAATCTGACTTAACAAATTAAGCAGAAGAGGAAGAAAATTCCAGGCCTCGGGACATTCACTGCAGCCCATCCAGGCACCGAGAGACACATGCCCTTCTAATGAAGAGTGGAGGAAGATCAACATGATCCTTATTTACAAGTCATTATGACTGTGCAGCTGGGTGACCTTGGGCAAGTCCCTTCCCTTCTCAGACCCTCAGTGTCTTCTTTGCTAAAATAAGTGTGCGAGCTTCCTACCTGCCCTGTCTCCCAGGATTATGGTTTGGCTCCAACACATCACGGCTGTCGGCTGTTGTTTACTAAGTGGCGTTTGTCCTCTCCCTCTCCCTGAACACCCTGCCCCCTTCCAGGAGGGAAGGCTGCACGCTGCTCATTTTCAGGACAGGACAGTGAGGCTGGGGAGGTGGTGGAGGATGCTGCCCAGGGAGAGGAGGAAGTGGGGGGCTGGGGCTGGCTGGGCTGACGCAGCCGTGATGTCAGAGGCCGGCCACAGGCAGCCGGCCCAGTGCTAACTGTGCGCTCTCTGCTGGTCTGGCCTGGCGCCTGCCCCCCTCCCCCGCCACCCCCCTTAACCCCTTCCCAGCCTCCTCTTCCCAGACGGCCAGCCCCCAGGCCCAGCCTTGCCCACAAGATTCCCAGATTTCACAACTGGGGCTGGCGCTGAATCATGTACAGTAAGTCCGGGGAGAGAAACTCCCGGCTGCTTGGCGTCCCCAGGACAGGACAGCTGCCAGGCCTGCCCTCCCTCCCAGGGGCCCACCAGCAGCCCGGGATCATCCGCTCTGGGCCCCTGACCAGCTAGGGGGTGATAGGCGGGACACACAACCTCTCTTGGCTGTGCCAGGAATCGAGGGACTGTGCGATTTCCAGGGAACCTTCAGGTCTGGAGGGACGGAGGCAGACCAGGGTGTTGGGGGAGGGGGTCAAAGTGGCCTTGTATTCAACCACCAAATTGCTAGAGACCTGGAGCGGTCCCTAAGTGTAACTCTAAGTTACAGTTTCCTTATCTGGAAAGTGGGGCTGACCACAGCTCTGAGCTCGCAGGTCACTGGGAGGCCTCTGAGATGATCTGTGTACGGTGCTCACTGCAGGAAGCACCCAATAAATATTATTGTTATTGTTGTGACGTTGAGCTGCTCATGACATGATTCAAAACCCTGGAGAAATCCCCCAGTTCTGTGAATGACATCTCCCCTGAAGCACCCACCCCTCCCACTGTGATGCAAATCACATCTTATCTTCTCAAAACTTCTTCGGTACATCAGCAAACGTTTAGCGAGCACCACTGTGTTCCATGCTGCTGCAGGTCTTGGAGCTACAGCAGTGAACACAACAGACAGACATCTAAAAGCCCTCTGTTTCACGGAGCCTGTATTGTGGCTGAGGAGAATCAGACATTTGAGATCATTTCAGGGAGTGAGCAGGGCTCCAAAGGAAAGAAAGCAGAAGATGAGATGGAGAGAGCCTGGGAGGTCCCCTCTGAGGGGGAGACGTTTGAACAGAAGCCCCAACAAAGAGGAGAAACCCACGTGCAAAGGCAGGGGTTGGGGCCAGTGCTCCGGGCAGAGGGAACTGCAGGTGCTAAGGCCGGGCTGTGGGGACCTCTCGTTGACGGCTCAGCAAGGACTGTGTGGCCGGGGCAGAGGGAGTGAGTGAGGGCAGAGGGGCAGGAGGTGAGCTTGGGGGGTACGGGGGGCAGCCCTGGAGCAGCTCTCCTCAGGCCAGCCTCTTCCTGAACGTGGCCACCTGGGACCTGACTCGTACCTGTGCGGGCAGCCACCTGACAAGCGCCTGGCTTCTTCCCACCTGGGGGCCCAAGGCCCTGGAGCTGCCTGCTCACGGTAACAGCCTCATTCCCAGGAACCCCACGGAGGGCCGGGCTCCCCCGGCCCTGCCCTGTGCACAGGCTGTCCCTGGGACTCCCCCTCCCTGCTTCTCAGCCACGCTTCACGCTTGGGCATTTGGGTCTCAGAGTCTCAGCGTGCCCACCTGTGAGATGGGCACCACGTTGCCTCCGGGAGGGAGTAAAAAGAGGAAGGGGGCTCTGGCCTTAGTGTCCATCCCCTGAACCCTGGTAGAAGGGAACCATCTGGGGCTCACCGGGGACCAGGCTGTGCGTTCACCGCGGGACAAGAGCTCAGACACGTGTGTGCGCATACAGAGTCGGGGAGATGGGGTGGCCTCAAGACCCAGGAGCCACAAGAGAGGGTAAGAGGGAAGGGGTGGGCCTTGAGGGACAGGGGACAGTCAGAGCTGGTTCTGGGGTCCAAGTGGGGATGGGGGCAGGGGGAACAAGGGGGCTGCCCTCCCTCCCAGGGGCCCAGTAGCGACCAGGGATCATTTCCTGGGTTGTTTTAAAAATCATTTATTTCTAGAAAAGTCTTTTTAAAAATCATTTATTTCTAGAAAAGTCTTTCATCATTTCCCTTCAGGTCATGGAGGATGAGATGGCTGATGGTGTGGGTAGCTGTGGCCTGACATGTCACTTTTGCCCTCAAACTGAGACAGCAGGGGGACGCGGTGGCCACGAGGCACAGTATCTGGTGTATGTGTAAGAAAGAGCCACAGCGCCCTGGGGAGGGGCCAGAGTCTCAGCCCGCACTGCCGTGGTCCCAACGGGTCTCCCAAAGATCATGTGGGCTGCTAAGAGGTGACCGGGTCATGAGGACTCTGAGCTGATGAATGGATTCGTGTCAGTAACGCAGGAGTGGTTTCGTGATGGACAGAGTGGATTTGTCACGTAAGTGAGTTCAGCCATGCCTTGCTGTCTCACATGCCGCCTCTTGCCATGAGATGCCTTCGCCAGGGAACGACAGCAAGAAGGCCCTCTCTTGAGCGAGCCCCTCAATCTTCAGCTCTCCGGTCTCCAGGACTGTTAGAAATGGTATTCTGTTATAGCAACACAAAACAGACCAAGACACCCACTGCATGGATGAAGAAACAGGCCCAAGAGGTGAGGAGCGTTGTCCAGGTCTCCCGGCCAGAGCAGCGGCAGAGATGGGATTTGAACCCTGGGCCTGTGTGGCTTGTGATGACTCCTAGCTTCAGCCCTGCCTGGTGCTGGGGGGCTTGGGGCCAGGACAATGGTCAGATGTTTAAGCACATTGGGCCCTATCCACCTGGAAAGAGGCTGGCCTGGAGTTGAATCAGAGCCAGAAGTGACTCAGGCTGGGACCCCTCTGCACTCTCCCCCAGGCCAGGGGTAATTACCTGCTCGGGTTAATAGTGCCCACTTCCTGCCACCTTTCATCAAGGCTCCTGGAGCTGCCAGGCAGTAATTAACCTTTACAGCACCCTCTGAAGTCAGCACCAGAGGCAGACGTGTGATGATGGGTAGGTAAACTAAGGCAGAATCCATGGCAGCCTGGGAGCCTGTTGCTCCCCCGTGACTCAGCAGCTCAGTCCATCTCTGCTTTCTTCCCACAGGAAGCCGCAGCTGGCCCAGATGCCCCTCATCTTCAGAGCTGAGCTGCAGGCTGGAGACCTGGAAGGTCCTCACAGCACCTGCTCCCACCCTGGACCCTCACAGAAGCACAGGAACATGGGTTTGGAACTGATGAAAGGGGCTGGAATCTGGCTCTGCTCTGTGAGGCTGGGCAAGTCACTGCCCCTCTCTGGGCTTCAGTTTCCTCCTTGGTAACACAGGATGATTCTACCTACCTGGGGTTTGTTGACCTGCGTCTACCTCTGATTCATCACCTTTCCTTCTCGCTGCAGTCACACTGGCCCCCTGACGGTTCCTTGAACACCGCAGGCCCTTTCCCACCTCAGGGCCTTTGCACGTGCAGTGCCAGCTGCGTGGAATGCCCTTCTTCCAGTCTCCCCATGGCCGGCTCAGTCTCGTCTTTCTTGGTTCAAATGTTACCTTGCCAACCTAGACAGCACCCCTGCCACCTCTTCACCCCTCTTACGCTTCTTCGAGCCCTTCTGGAGGTATCTTACTATTTATCTTGTTTGTATCTTTTTCAGTTCCATGAGGAAGGGAATTTTGTCTGTTTCATTCATAATGTGCTCCCAGGCTTAGCACAGTGTCAGACGCATACTAGGTGCTTAAGAAGTGATTGCTTCCTCTATCTCTTCTCCTGCTAGCCCCAAATTCAGCGGCTGGCTGTGTGACTCTGGGGGTTGCTTTTCGCCTCTCCGGTTTCCTATTCCCCCTTGTGGACAAAGGATGGCCTGGGCATGAGTTTCTTCAAGGACTCAGGTAGCAAGAAAATTCTTGGGACCCCAGCCTCAGAATCTCCCCAAGCAACGGGGTAGAGAGCGAGAAGGCAGGTGAGCAAGGACCAGCCTCCGCCATGCAGCCACTCTCTTTCCTGCTCCTCTGTCCGCCCCCTTTGCCCTGGGTTTGTGGACTTACTCGGGCAGATCTCCATGACCAACCACCCCCTCCCTTGGCATGTCTGTCAGCACCCTTGGGGGAAAGAATTTGGAAAGGGGAGGGAGAAAAAGAAAGCAGGGTGCGAGGGGATGGTTCCCACACCTGTGTAAATAATTTGTCATCTTAAAATGCTCAAGTATGCTCACCTTTAATGCCTGCTTCTTGGGTTTGTTTTCCTTGGCAAGGCCCCCACGGGAGTGGAATTTCGGCCAAAGGCAGCCCAATTGTCATCTTCTAAGCATATTACCAGGCTGGGGGCCGGGGAGGGCTCTGGCTGATGCTCCACTTCCGTCCCCAGAAGTGCTGGGACGTTCCTGGGATCTAGGGAGCAGCCTCCAGTCCTGGAAGCTGTCCCAGAATTCTGGAATGTTGGAATTGAAACGGCCTCCTGCCCATTTTCTGGAGGAGGAACATGAGACCCAGAGAGGGGAAGGGGTTGGCCTGAGGTCATACAATGTGCAGAGATGAGGCGGGAGAAGGGGTGGGTGTGTGGACAGGTTGGTATCTAGCTCCCATTTTCAGGTAACAGCACCTCAACTTCCTACTGACGAACCCCCCTCTTCCCTTTTCTCAGTCCCTGAGGCTGCCGGTGCACAGAGGCCTCTGTCTCCAGGGGTGGACATGTGACTGGGTCTTGCTCTAGTGATTGGTCCAGGGGTGGGCACATGACTGAGTCTCCCCAATGAAACTTGATCCTGGGACTTCAGGGCTGCCCATGATTTGTGAAGGAGATGCCATTTTCCATTGAGGGGAGAGTGAGCAAGTCAACACTTAGAGCGAAAAAGGACAAAACAAAGGAAAAGCCTGCCTCAGAGGAAGCAGCACAGAGCTGGACAGGCTTTGAACTCCTGGACCCCGCCATACCTGAAACTAGGCACCTTCAGCTTGCTCGTTACCTGAGCCACCACATTTCCCAGTTTTGGCTGAAAACAGTTGGGACTGGCTGTCTGTCCCTTGCATGCAGAAGGTGCTGACTGACCCTGCCCCATGGGAGAAGAGACTCCATAGTGTGTCTAGACGCCCCAAAGCAAATGCCCAGAGGGGCTGTCATGTAACAAGGAGAAGAAGGAGGAGGCACCTGGGAGCTGCGCTGAAGAGTTAGTTGGGTGGTCAAGGTGGGAGAAGGGGGTATCTTTAGCAGAGGGAACAGCCAGTGCAGAAGCTGGAGGGGTGACTAGTTAGTGAAGATCGATGATGTGCTGAGCTCATGTTGGGTGGCAAGGGACACAGACAAAAAGGGCACAGCGGCCCCCAGCCCTCCTCACCTGCTCCAACGCAGTGCAGGCTTGTCTGCTTTCGGAGCCGAGCCTGGGCACTTCCGCGTCCTTCCCCCGGCAGAGCGCTGCCAGCACGCTGTCTCAGGCTCTCCAGCATCTCCTGGTTTGGTGATGTGCAGTGCACCTTGGGGACCACACAAGATTATTTTATAGGGTGCACAGACAAAGCGTAAAATCACCTCAGGTCACATAGCGAGTTCTTCTCTCTGCAAATTCTTTACAGTCTTTCCTTTATATCCAGGAGAGTCTCTGTTTGGTGCTAACCTGCCTCTAAGACCAAATACTTGCTAATCACCCTTAGTGACAGAGAGAGCAGGTCTCAGGCTCATTCATGTCTCAGGCTCTCAGTTGTATCCAGCTAGACTTTTTGAAATGCCCCATAGGGCTGCAGCACACATGCTGAAGTGTCCAGCTTGTCCCAGCCCTGTAATCGGCACCCTAGTGAGCAGACTGGAGATCCCCACCCCCATAGCTGCCCCCGCTCTCCTCCATCATGTTCCCGCGAGGGACGCCACGATCCGACTTGTATGACCACGGATCAGTTACACATGTTTTTGAATTTCACATCTGATCTGTTTTCTGTTTCTATATAAGCTTGCCTTTTCTAGAATGCCGCATAAGTGAAATTCTACAATGTGTCTCCTCAGTTTGAGTCTGTTTTTTTTTTCCTGCTCAGCATGACGCTTTTGAGATGCATACATGCGGTTATCTGTATCCGTAGATGGTTCCTTTTTATTGCAGAAGAGTATTCCAGGGTATAGCTGTATCAAAGCTTATTCATCCATTCACCAGCTGAGGGATATTTGGACTGATTCCAGGTTTTAGCCATTATAAATAAGGCCACTAGGCACATTTGCAAACAGGTTTTTATGTGAACATAAATTTTTGTTTATCTTGGGTTAATTTCTAGGAGTGGAATTGCTAGGACAGGTGGCTAAGTGTATGTTTCACTTTATCAGAAACCGCTGAACTCTTTTCCAAGGTGTCTGTACCATTTTTCATCCCACCAGCAATGTGTGAAAGTGTCAGTTGCTTCCTATTCTCACCAACACTTAGTGTTGTTAGGTTTTTTTGTGTGTATGTGTGTTTTACTTTTAGTCATTCACATAGGTGATAATGGTATCTTATTGTGGTGTGAGTTTGCATTTCCCTAGTGACCGATGATTTTGAACATCTTTGTATGTGTTTCTTTGCCATCTGTGTATTTTCTTTGGTGTAGTATCTGTTCTAACTTTATGTCCGTTAAAAAACCCCAATTGTTTTCTTCTTAATAGATTTGGAGACTTTGTTACATATATTCTGGACACGAGTCAACCCTTTGTCAAATATGTGATCTGCAAATATTTTCTCCTGTTCTGTGGCTTGTCTTTTTATTCTTTCAACAGGTAGACGTTAATAACATTGTTTTGTTTTCTTTGTATTTTTCTGGTTGCTTTTGATTTGTGGCATGCGTTCTTTGTTTTTTTCAGTTCTAGTGATAGCACCAAATGTTTCCTTTTAAAATAAATTTATTTAAGTGAAAACGTCAGTAAATTTGAAGAAACACATTAAATAAGGAACAGTAGAAGTGGAGAGTAGACAGCATGAAAACTGTGAAGGCAGTTTCCAATTTGCATAACCAAAGTGTGGGCGGCTCAGATTTGTTCATCAACAGATACTGATGGAGCCCCCACTGTCCAGCAGGCTCTGAGCCGGGTGCTGGGGTCACAGCATCGAATGAGACACTTGTTTCTGCTCTTTTAATGATGTTTTTTCTCGAGGGAGCCTCTCTTCATCTTCAAAAGCCAATTTGAAGGACCCTGGCTTTGTCCAGATCTTCCCTGGAATGGTTGTCACAGTGTACTGCAACTTTCCATTTCTGTATCTCTTAGGCAGGCGGCTTGTTGGGCAGCCTCTGGTAGGGTTGCAGAGAGCCTGATGCATAGGTACCTCAAAAAAGAGCCTCTCACAGATTACAAACCATGATGAGATGCTGAATACCAGTTGCTGATTCAACTGGTTGAAATTAGCCAGGTCCACCCTGATGAAGGGGCCTGAAGACCCTCCCTGCTGCCGCCTGGCTGACCCCATGCAAGCCAAGGTCTCTCTCCTTGGCCCCCCCACCACGGACAAAGGTACCAAGAGAAAAGCCTCCCAACCGATGCCTTCACCCTCTGCTATTTGCGTCCCATCCAGTGCCCATGGATGCCTCTCCTGCAAGGCTCAGTATTCACACAAATACCTAACCAGGCGTCTCTTTGCTCTGACCTGCCTCAGGACCACCACTTTCACCGTGGCCTCCTGCCACCATTCCCCTTTCCTACACTCCAGCAACCAGCCAGTGTTTGCCTCTCTCCAGCGCACCCAGCTCATTCCCACCCTGGGCCTTTGCACTTGCCCTTCCCTGGTTCATTGCCTTCTCCAGCTCTCCGGATTCAGTCCCGAACTTCAACGACCCTCCTCAGAGGCCCTCCCGGTTATGCTACCAAAGCGCTCTCTCATTTTTTTTTTTTTTTTAAGACAGGGTCTCACTCTGTCACCCAGGCTGGAGTGCAGTGGTACAATCATAGCTCCATGTCCCAGGCTCAAGTGATTTTCCTGCCTCAGCCTCCTCAATAGCTGGGACTACAGGTGTGTGCCATCATGCCCAGCATTTTTTTTTTTTTTAAAGTAGGGATAAGGTCATACTATGTGACTCAGGCTGGTCTCAAACTCCTGAGCTCAAACAATCCTCCCACCTCGGCCCTCCAAGTGCTGGGATTATTTCGGTGTGAACCACTGCACTCGGATGCCCCATGTATTTTTTACCCTTCATTCTGTTTCTTTCCTTCGTAGCACGGAATGCTCTCATTCCGAGTTTATTTGCGTGTTTGCTTATTTCTCATCTGTGTCCCCTACTGGAGTGGCAGCTCCATGAGGGAGCTCCCCAGTGCCCAGCATGGTGCTCAGCACACAGTTGGTACTCCGTCAGAATTTGTCGAATCAATACATGAATGAATGAATGAATGAATGAGCTCATGAGCTCTCCCTTCTCCAGAGGCACTCACGGCAAAGTTGAAGCCATCTATCTGCCCATGTGTCAGGCTAGTTTTCCTGTGGGCCCCTCCTGGGTGGGTACTGAGGGCTGCCCACTGGGTCCAGCCAGGCCTGTGTCTTGTCAGCGGCCCAGGGAAGGGACTTTCCATTGTCCTTGGAGTTGGCCTGTGGGAAGTTTTTCTCAGGACCTCGTGAGCCTGGGGCCATGGATGGGGCTAGAGGTAGCTGCAAGGTACAGGGACCCGGCGTGAAATTCCCTTTCGTCCTCCCTGTCATGCCACGGGGAGGGAAAAACTCCACTTGGGGCTGGCGCATCTTGGACACCTTCCTGCCACCTGTTCTTTCTTCTGAAGAAACAGAGCAGATCCCGAGTACAAGCCTGTCATCGGCAACAGTAGCTGGCTTTGTTTCACTATTTTGTTTATTTCACCAATTGTCTTCCATTTGCAGCAAGTGCCTTAGATTGAGTGCCCCTGGAAGCAGATCCTAACAGAATAATGTGAAGGCAAGTAGCCTGTTTGGGAGATGCCCCCAGAAAGCACTGGTAGGGAAGAGAGATCAGTGAGGAAAGGCTGCCAATCTCAAGAGTGCTACCAAGACAGTAATCATGGAGGCAGCTGGGGCTCAGTCCTGCTGTGGCACGCTGGGAGCGGGGATAGTAATGGAGATAGCCCCCCAGGGGTGGGGATCGGCTGGCCAGGGAGCTGGGGAAGGGACACGTCAGCTCCTGCTTGTCACTGGTTGACAGCCACTGCTTGGAATGTTAGTTCCCAGCACATCCAGCCTGCCCATGAGCAGAGCTCACAGGTGAAAGGGGCAGGTTCTGCAGCTGGAATCCTGCCTGTGTCACTGGAGGAAAGAGAGAGGGGGTATGGGCAGGGCACGGACAACAAAGGCCTCACCGTCAACCCTAGTTTCTCATTTAAAGCCAGGATAAAACGAGTTCCTTTAAAATTAAGTCTTACCAAACATTTAAAAAGTGAATTGATGGAAAGAGTACATAATACCTGCAGGTGAAATATGAACGTGGCAAATGCTGCCATTTTTCAGGGCATCTAAAGCCTTTAACAAGCGAACAGGTTCTCATGACCCACAAGAATGGCGTATTTGCGTGGTAACAGCACTCCCCCTTTCCTCCCAGCATGCCAGGCTCATGCCCATGCCCAGCACTTCCCAGGACCCCAGGAAGTCCTGGAAATGGGCCATGAGGCTTGCTGGCAGAAGCCCTGTGTGACTTGGGGTTTGCCCCTTAACATCTCTGGGCCTCTCTGTTAAAAGGGGATGTTCTCAAGTTACATAAAAAAGTAAATGTGCAAAAATAGTC